ACTGCAAGTGGACTTTGAACCGGGCTTTCGTCTTCTGGTCCAAAGGAGGTTTAAGAAGACTCTAGCTAGGAACATTTGGAATCGTAGCTCCAGCTTGCCATGTTCTTACAGCTTAGGACGTGTTTTTTGGGAGTTTGGGACGGGAGCGGTCCCTCATGGGCACCGTACCAGATCTGGAGCATTTCTCCGCGAAGGAGCCAAATTTTTGAAGGCTCTTTCGCCCCTCCGAGGCCCCAGAAAGGGAGGAAGGCTGGGCGGCATGCCCCACACAGCCTACAACCTGACTAAGACAGCCCCTCATGTGCTCTTTTGTTCGAGTCGATTTGAGTGGATTTGGACTTGCCTCCTTCACACTTTCCCAGATGCGTAGGTGTTTTTCGTGATGCAGGTATACTGTATATTTTTAAGCTGCACCGAGACTTCGCAATCCTCTGCACCCGAAGCCGCCCCGAGCCTCTCACCCCAGACCATACATCCTCAACTTTAGACCGCAAGCCCCAACCCTAAACTCCAAACTCAAATCACCAAACCTACAGCAAGCCTAAACCCTAACCCTAGCCCCTTGCCCTGGACCCTAAGCCCCTACCCGAGACCCCGAAACTGGCCCTAAGCCCCTAAACCCCTAANNAAACCCCTAAACCCTTGAACCCTTAAGCCCCAAACCCCAAACCGTAAACTCTAAGCCCTAAGCCCCAAACCGTAAACCCTAAAGCCCAAACCTCTGAGGACGAACCTCTGACCTCTGCGGAGAGAAAGGGTTATTGCACCTTACAACAAAACCCAAACCGTAACCCTGAAGTCTGCATCCCAACCCGTGCTTCCTTCTTTTTTGGGAGCTCTGCTCCCGGTCTCCGCTGAGATCCCTTTGAGCCCTGCGCTTAGAGGCTTGTCATCGTGGTGGTAGGGGTAGACATAAATTCGGGTGGGTTTAGGGCTTCGGGTTTAGTTTGGGGTTTAGGGTTTAGGGTTTCGAGCTTAGGGTTTAGGGATATCAGTTACAAGTCAGGCAAATACGGCAACATAGTTGCAACTGCTCTTGTCTCACAGTTGCGGTACCTAGAGGCTTGCCCTGCTGCTGTTTGCCCATGGACCCTCACGGAGATCAGAGCGGCGGCGGGGTGCATCCGCAGGAGGCTAGGGGACAGAGACCCCCCCACAAGCAGGATTCCCAAAAAGAGAGGGGGCAGGGGTTGGGTTGGGCTTGTAGGGTTTCGGGCCAGGGTCTCGGACAACCCCCCCAAAAAAAATTCCCAAAACCCTCAACTCCCAAAAACTCCCAAAGCCCTAGGCCCTCACCCTACACCCCAAACCCGAAGCCTAAACCCTAAGCCCTACGCTAGCTCTGGTACGGCTCATGTCGAGGGCTTGAAGCCCCGAAATCTCCATAGGATCCCAGCAGTCAGCCTCACAGACCTCAGAGCCTCCAAAAATCATAGCCAGTCTCAGGGTTCAGAGTTTAGAGTTTAAAGGGTTTAGGGTTTTAGGGTTTAGGGTTTAGGGTTTAGAGTTTAGGGTTTAGGGTTTGGGCTTTGGGGTTTAGGGTTTAGGGTTTAGGCTTTGGGGTTTATGGTTTAGGGGCCTTCCCCTGCCTTTTCAGAAGGTTAAAGTCAAAGTTAGAGTCAGAGGGGTCTGAAGATTCAGTGGAACCTTTAGTCTTCTTCAGATGCAAAGCTAACAGTTAGGTTAGAGGTCTGAAGAATCAACTAAGCCCTACTTTTTTCAACTACAAGCCTTAAACCCTAAACATTAAGCACGGGGAGAAAGGGCCATTACACTTAACAAAACATTAAGCACCTCAAACCCTGAGCCATAAACCTGAACCTCAACCTTAACTATTAACCCTAAACCTTAAACCCTAAGCCTAAAACCCCCCAGCCTGAACCCGAAACCCTAAGAACTTCAACCTTAAGTCCTGAAGCCCGAACGGTGCCCACGACCTCGACTGGCTCAAGCAGGATGAGTCCTTGGTGCTCTGTCCTGTTGTTGCTTTTATGGAGGCTTGAATCATCAGAATAGGATTTCGGGAGTGTGCGTTACTACCACTATATCGGAGCGACGAGGGGATATCATTATAGTTTAGACCTCTCTTGTACAGAAACCGCGGATATGAGGGCCTGCCGGGGTGCGGGTTAAGGTTTACGGTAGCTTGAGGAGCAGTGGTTCGTGGAACTTTTGAGGCTTAGAGTATTTCGAGCGAAGAGCCATTCCATCGTCGCGCCATTATGGCTTGGCACTCGGGAGGGTCAGCACGTGGGGAGGGGATAGGAGAGTTGAAGGCAGGATCCGGCCCTTGCACTTGCCAACTATAGTTCCCCGAGCTGGGAACAGTGGAACCCAGCCTGCTCCAATCATCGTATGGTGTACACTTGCTTTGGGTTTCTCGACGTATCTACTGCTCGTTGAGGAGCGCCCTATATGTCACGAGATTGCACTGGATACTGAAGCGGTGTCTGCTACCGATAAAGTGGCTCACTAAGGTTCGCGTTCCACATACCACTAAATTACCTCTGGGCTCATTGTTTCTTCCTGCGCGTGCCTGACTCATGGCTTTCTTTTGGGTCACTAGGCTTTGCCTGTGTTTTTGCTGTCGATCAACCGATAGTGAATCATGGCGCCCTCGTGTTGCAACACCCAAGTTTTAGAACCCAATGCGTTCTGTGCGTTTCTCAGAGGCTCTATGTCTTAGAACATTCTGATCAGATGATACACTGAGTCTCGCGTGCCACAGCGCGAAATTGCACTGATCAGCTGGAGGTTATTCGTGCAGTCTGCAGGGGCGGCACGTTTTGGATTCACGGGTACGAACGAAAGGTCCCGCAGCTTGCACCTGACTGCTCGTGACTGCTGATATAGTGACTATGAATGGCTATCACTTCGAACAGTCTTTAAACTTTAGATGCGAACGTGCAGTCCAGCGGAGTGTGCAGGTGTTCATGCCATGCTGCATCTGGAGATTGCAAACACAAAGGGATGGGCTGGAGCTAGCGTTCAGGCCAATCGACGTAAACTCACTGCCTCAGCTTCGAACAACACCCAGCACCCTGTTTGTTTCTGTCTCTCCACACTTTCTGCACCCCCAAACCCTAGATCCCAGACCTATCGGGTTTTGAAATCGAAGGCTTAGAAAGTTGTGTATACACAATTATATATATATATACACACATATATATATATACATACAGATAGAGGTATATGCATGTGTCTGCATATGTACAGGTATACATAAATAGCTGAATGAACAGATAAATAGATAAAGGGATACATGAACAAACATTTTATACATATATTATTATACACATACACATTTGCACACTCTATAGTTTTATAAATGAACTTATGCATATATGAATGCATGTCCATATGTATGGGCATGCATTGTACCTATATATATATATACACATACATGCATACAGACATACATATGTGTATATAGATAGGCTATAGATCAATAGATAGATTACATAGATAGATGGATGGATGGATCGATGGATAGATGGGACCGGCAGATAGACGGACAAATAGATAGATCGATAGATCGATAGATGGATGGATGGATAGATAGATAGATAGATAGAGCGCTAGGCAGATAGTTAGTTAGATAGATAGATAGATGGATGGATGGATAGATGGATAGGTGGAGAGATAGATAGACAGACAATTAGATAGATAGACAGGTAGACAGATACTGACAAGATAGCCAAGCATCGCACACCGCATCTCGCCCACCGAGGACGAGACCTTGCTGGGATGGATCTTCCTGAAGCTCGGCAGCGATTCTTTTTGCACATGTTTAGGGGTTTAGGGTTTAGGGTTTAGGGGTTTAGGGTTCAGTGTTTAGGGTTTAGGGCCCTATATAACTATAGAGTCACTGGCAATAATTTCACTGGCAATACTTATTCCCTAGTGTTCTATGATAGAAGCATCGTACATTAAAGTATACCCGAAAACCTTACTGGACTTACCATCGCTTCCCTTGTTGTGAACTTGTCCAGCCAGTTTAGTTTGTGACCCGCTGCCAAGATTTTCAAGTTTTCAACCTTTCCGGAGCAGCCACGAGGGTGTTTTTCCAATCGCCATGGATAGCGCGTCTCTTGTGCAGTTTGCATCGGCGCTGCACAAACATCAAGACAGTATTGCAGGCGGCTTGTCAGGCTTAGTTTTCAGGGTTGCAGGAGATGCTGTATCGGCAAATGAGCCTGGGGACTAGTGACTGTGTTGGAAACACCTGCACCCAGTAGGGCTATCGGGCATAGAAGGGCTTCGGCAAGGAAGCGGCGTGTCTCAAGCTTAGGCAGCAACACCTTTGTGATGTACACCGTACCTGCCGATGCTTTCTTGCAAATGACAGAAGTCAAGATGCACGAGGAGCTCGCAGACGCCGGTGTGCTCACAGAGTTTGATGAGAGCCTGGGAAAGGCAATGTTCGTGTCGCACCAGTGGCTGAGTGCCACCCATCCTGATCCAGACTTCCAGCAGCTGAAAGTTCTGCAGGATACGCTGAGGAATATCGTTGCCGGAACCAGCTCAATTTCTCAAGCTCTGTTCTCTGAAATTGTGTATGGTCGAAGAAGAGGCCCTGCACCCGGCGACTTCGCATCCGGCCATCTCCACATTTGGTATGACTACTTCAGCATCCCACAAAGCCACGGTGGCCGCGCATCTCGGGGCCGTCAGACAGCCATTCAATCCATCCCAACATACGTGGCAAGGTGCGAGTTCTTTGTAGTGTTATGCCCGGCTTTGAAGCACAAAGATCAGAAGCGGACTTTGAGCCATGCCTCTTGGGGCGAGAGGGGGTAGCTGAGTTGCATTTGCATTTCTTTGCCGTTTGACGATAATTGCACTTGTTCCCGCCTAGGCCTAAGTTTTGCCGGTTCTTCCGCAGCCCAGTCCAGGTGGTGTCGCACAGAGAGAGCTGCACGCGAACTTTCCACTCGCAAAGGTGGCTACGTCATTGTTGTAGAGAGTGCCACGCACCAGTCGCTGCTGTGGGGAGGACTAAGCATGAGGGATGCACCTGGTGAAGGAGAGTTTACGCTTGATGGTGACCGAGTGTGGATCGGTCGTATGGTTACCCAGATGGTTTGGTCGAAGCTTTTCTATTACCTCGAGCACCGACAGTTTCACAACTACCGATTCCTTCTGAACGCACACGCAGCGCTGTATTTCCGTGCTCTTGATCTGGAGCCCATTGACGGCCTTGTTCCGGGGTTCCACACTGAGATCGACCCCAGTGTTGACTGCAAGGGCTTCATGCTGGAACGTTTCCTGCATCACAACGGCCTCAGGAGCGTAGAAACCCAAAATCCTCAGCCACTAAAGCTTTGAAATCTCACGACTCCATATTTGTTCTCGATTGGTGCCGTCAGGAACATCTTCGAGCGGGACGCTGCAGGGTGGCCGCCCATTTGCTTTGCAGCGATGAGCAACAATGTCGTGGTGCTGCAAGCGCTTCTTGACCGAAAGGTGGATATCAACCAGGCTACCACCAAGCCCGCAACAGAACTCACTCTTCCTGCCAAGCTGACGGCTCTGGGAATAGCTTCCATACTTCGCAACAAGGAAGCTGTCGAGCTGCTTCTTCGTGCCAGAGCCCAAGTAAACTACAAGGATGGTTTTGGTGGCAATGCTCTCCATACCGCGTGTGGCGGGGACAATCCACGCGGAGTACGTCTACTCTGCGATGCTCGTGCCAACGTGAATCAGCAGTCAGTGCCAGGAATGAGCCCTTTTATGCT